AGAGTGAGTTCCAGGACAGCCAGGGCTACCTAGAGAAGCCCTGTCTTGAAAAAATAAAATAAAATAAATCTTTGGGGCTGGAGAAATAGCTCAGCAGTTAATATCAGTGGCTGTTCTTCCAGAGGATCAGGGTCCAATTCCCAACATCCACACGGCAGCTTATAGCCATCTGTTACTGCCTCTTTTGATCTCTAAAGGCATCAGGCATGTATGTGTAGCAGACATACAAAAAGGCAAAACACTCATACACATAAAATAATAAAAATTTTAAAAATGAAATAAAAATAAATCTTAAAAGCAAAACCACTATAAATAGGGTTGGAAGTATGGCTCAGTGCTGAAGAATGTTTACTGCTCTTACAGAAGACCTGGGTTTGGTTCCCAGTACCCACAAATCTCTAACTCCAGTTTCAGGTGATCCCAAATCCTTTCTTTTACGGCCCTCACTAGTGCCTGTAAACATGTAGTACAAATAAACTCACAGAGACAAATACTCAGACACATAAATAAATCTTTACAAAACAAAAACATTATACACAAAGTTGAAAAAGCAAGTAAACTGGAAGAAAGTATTTGCAAACTCATGAGAGAAAAAAGCTGAAATTCTTCTTTAATTTTTCATCGTGATTTTTACGTGTACTAGTGTTTTGTCTGCATTGATGTCTATACACCGTGTACATGCAGTGATGGTGGAGACCAAGAAGTGTCCGATCCCATGGGACCGGAATTACAAACAGTTGTGAGCCTCATGTAGGTAATGGTACTTGAACTCAGCCCCTCTGGAAGAGCAGCCAGAGATCATAACCACTGAGCCTCTCTCTAGCAACTGAAATTCTTATTAGATAAAGATATTCCTGATATTCCTGAGGCCCCAAGTTTGAGTCATACCATCAAAGGAAAACATAAAACGAAAGAACCACATTGTTGTTGTGGACCACACTTGTAAATCCTGGGGAAGATGAGGAAGAATTTCTGTGATTCAAGACCTGCCTAAGCTACATATTAAGTTCCATGTCAGCCAGGGCTACACAGTAAGACCCTATCTCAAAAAAGCCAAACAAAACAAAGCCAGGGACAGTGAGTAGTGCGTTCCTAGAGTGCCAAGTACTGGGGAGATGAGGCTGAGAGATTCATTTAAGAATCTGAACTTGAGAGCCGGGCGGTGGTGGCGCATGCCTTTAATCCCAGCACTTGGGAGGCAGAGGCAGGCGGATTTCTGAGTTCAAGGCCAACCTGGTCTACAGAGTGAGTTCCAGGACAGCCTGGACTATAAAGAGAAACCCTGTCTCAAAAAACCAAAAAAAAAAAAAAAGAGCAACAATATAAAACAGAGTTGGGAAGGAGAGAGATAAAAATGGTCTTTAACAGGGGGAAGATTATTTACCTTTGCTCATAAGGAGAAATAAAAGTGAAAACTACAGTAATATGTAACTTCTCACTACAGATGAGAAAAACAATCAAAGCTTGAACCTTTGCAGCAGGACTGGGGGAAACAGGACAGGTAGGAATTTAGGAATAGATAAACAAAACCACAAATCATTATTATTATTTGTGGGGTTGTTTGTTTGTTTGATTTTTAGGCAGGATCTTATTATGCAGCCCAGGCTTGTCTGGAACTCATTATGTAGATCAGGCTGGTCTTGAACTCACAAAGCTCGCCTAGCTTCTGCCTCCTTAAGTGCTGGGATTAAAGGCATGTGCCAACACAACAGGCCCTAACAGTTGTTTTAAAGGGTGGGAATAGTGGGAAGGGAGTGGCACCGGCCTTTAATCCCAGACTCAGGAGGCAGAGGCAGACACATTACCAAGTAGAGGCTAGCCTGATCTACAGAGAGTTCCAGGACAGCCAATTCAGTAACACAGAGAAACCCTGTCCTGAAAGGAAAGAGGTGGGAGTACTTTCAGTTTACACTTGGAACGTTAGTAAAATGAAAATGTACAACTAACTGGATGTGTCAAAGATTCTAACTTTCTGAATATATGCAGGGAAAATACAGAGTGCCTTTGATAAAACAAACAAATCCTAAAAACACACTTCTGGTTCTTACTAATGAACATCTACTTTGTGACTGTGCAACATGTGTGTATGTGTCTGCGTGTACACTGGCCAGTTTTGTGATTTTTCTTTCTTTGAAATCCAATGATGGTACACGTCTGAAATTCTAGCACTTGAATAAGTAGTTCAAGGCCATCCTTAGCTACAAAACCAGTCCCAGGCTGGCCAATCTACATGAAACCCTGGGCTCAAAGTAAACATGTTTATTTAACAGATCAATCTATGGTGGCGAGGCTACTCAGCGTGGCTTTATTCTAAAGTGATGAAGCTATGTCACATTCAGGAGGCAAACAACAGACAGGTATGGCCTGATTTTACTTTTACGTGCTATTCATAATTCCTTCAGGCATTATCATTCAACTTCAAAGGCGTTGCTTCCCTGATCATCCCCTACTTTAGTTGGCTATTCATCGTCACTTGAGACTTGTCCCCTTGTCCCACTGTACTTACTGCTAAAGGAACCCAAACGGTCCATCCTCTAGCTGACAGAGACTGCGCTTGATCTTCTTTGATACAGAGCTTTAAGACTTCAGAAGTTGCCAAAGATTAACAATTTCACAATCCCCTATGAACAAAGAGAAGACCCACACAGATCAGAAAACCATTCCAAGGTTTATTTTGGTAAACTGACAAGACAATGGTGTGGTTGTCAACCATAACACTCATACCTCCTCATTCACAGAATTTAAAGTACTCCCTCCTTACAAAATCTGGAACTTGCTGGTGAAGTGGTATGCAACTTTACTCCTAGCACCCAGGAAGCAGAAGAAAATAGGTCTCTGTGAGTTCAAGACCAGCCTGGTCTACATGGAGAGTTCTGACCCAACCAGGACTACATAGTGAGACCCTGTCTCAAAAAATAAATTTGAACTTTATTATTGGAAATTAAGGAATCCTACCCAACATATATTGATCAGTAACTTACTCCTTTAAACAGGAGGTAGAAATAGGAGGGCTTCAATGTTGTCCCTGGCTATCTTGGACTACTTCAAATTCCAAACCCAAAACAAGCTGGGCAGTGGTGGTGCACACCTTTGATCCCAGCACTCAGGAACCAGAGGCAGCCTAAAGTACAGAGTGAGTTCCAGGACAGGCAGGGCTATACAGAGAAATCCTGTCTTGGAGGAAAAAAAAAAAAAAAAAAAAACCCAACCACCCAAACCGAAACAAAGCACACATCAATTTGGACAAATAAATGTTAGTTTTCTAAAAGGTTAGTTTACCTTCATTTCTCCTGAAATAGTTTTTTCACTTTGACAGTTTTAGCTTGGGGACTGATCTACAAAGAATATGCAATGCTTTGATAATAAGGCTGAGGGCCAATTTTTTGGCTACTTTGGGTAGGGGTGAGTTTTTCCTCTATATAGTTCCAAGAAAAGTGGGTCTTTGAAGAAGAATGTTGTGGGCTCAATAGCTAACTATAGGGTGTTTTAGCATAAAGGATGCTTTATATTCAAACTCCAACATCCAATAAGCAAGTAAACTCAGTACTCCAGAGGTACAGGCAGGAGGATCAGGAGTTCAAGGAAATTCTTGGCTACGTTAAGTTCAAGGTTGGCCCAAGATATATGAGGCTGCCTAAAAAAAAAAAATTTAAAAAAAATGTATTTAACAAAGGCATATTATATACCCAGGAATAAAACAATAGCCAACATCCATATGCCAGGTACCGAATGGAATCACAGTTCGTGGACTCTATCTTGGAATCCTAACAATCTCCTGACAGACAGTTTTTTCCCAAGAAAAAAAAGCGCTAAAGATTGGGGTATCTGCACAGTGCTTTTACAGGCTGGTGAACAGCAGGGCCTTATCAAATAGCCCCTTACACTATCAAAGATGCTACAATACGTTCTGACAAAACACTTCACGTCGCAAAGCACAATGCTGCAAAAATCAAAATCTTCCTTCTTCTCCTTCTTTAAAAGACCACGCAGGGACACTAACATTCTTGAGAGATGGGCTACATTTAAATTAATTACTAGAGGGAGCGAGGAAGTGACCGAGGGGCAGGACCCCATGAGGAGCACAGGGGAATCGCGGGCTTGGCAGTTGTGCAGACAGCACCCTTACAGCTGCATGGTCTTGGGCAAGTCACTGTATACCGGGGCCTCGGCTCCAAAACGGTGCTCCACACTGGCTCGCAGAGACCCACGTGGGGGTTCGGCGGGTCAGGTGGGCCGGGGCCGCGCTCCACCGCCCAGCCGGGAACACCGAGCTGCCTCATAGCCAGCCGCAGGGGGGAAGGGCTCGGGACTCGCCAGGCCGCGACAACTTGCCCCACCGCGTGGCCCCGCAGCGCAAGCCCGCACCTCGTGACCCCGCGTGCCTTCGCTCCCGCCGCTCAGCCCCACGCCTCACCTCGCCACGTCTCGCACCTCCGCACCGAAGAGCCCGCCGCTGCGCGCGCTGTGCAAACTCTGCGTGCGCGCCACGGCCTGCGTGCGCGGTCCCGAATCACGTGCGCGGCCCCGTGTCACTCAGCCACCAGCACGCCGAGGCTGTCCCGCCTCCTCCAGTCAGGCGGCGGGCGGGTCCCAGTGGCGCCGCCCCGGGATGGGGAGCATGATACCTGGCTGCTAGTCGTTGGGCTCTGAAGTCTGACCTGCTGTCACTTTCCCCGTCGCCACTGGCGTCCCAGTGGCATGCGCTAAGGCGGCCTCGGCTGGTTCAGTCTGGATTTTTTTTCTTAACAGTTCCATTCCAGTTCTGTTGCAAGCAAGGAAACTGAGGCTGCCCAGGCACTGGGCTGGAGGATGGCGAGCCCGGGCCGTGCCACACCACTCGTGGATTACCCAGACTGAATGACTTGAGGGGTGAAGAGGGTCCTTTTTATTCTGATGCTTCTGGGACGTCGAAATTGCCTTCTCTGGAAAGATACATCCCCTCTCTGGGCTTCAGAGGCCCACATGGAAGCGCAATGATGATGTGGTGGTCCACTCTGATGTCACTCTTGAGGGCTAGGTATGTCCCAACATCTCTTATTCCTACTGGTATAGATTCTTATAAGAGCTTCCATTTATGGAATCCTTCCTTACTGCATGCCAGGCATTGTACGAAGCGGGTTACACACATAAGGGCTCGCCTAAAACAACTTTCTGAGGGAGGCACTGTTACTGTTCTCAGGAAATTTACTGTCCAGCTGAGGAAATTTAGGCATTGAAATATATATTTTAGGATCACAGTGCTACCAAATGTTGGGGAAGAGATTCCAGCCATGGCTTATCTTAATGATTATGCTGTGTATCTATTTAAAAATCTGTTTTATAGATTTGCCCAATTTCTGTTGGAATTCATTTATACGATATCTACCTGTGTGGTATCTTGATTAGTTTTTTGGTACACAGGTAATATAAGTCCATTGTTAAAATAAAAAAAAAAATTGCAGCTGGATGTAGTTAGTGACATCTGTGGTCTCAACACTTGGGAGAGTGCAGGACAATTGCCCTGAGTTTGAGATCAGTCTGGGCTGCAAAGTGAGAGATCTGTCTCAAAAAACAAACAAACAAACAAAAAAAAAACAACCAGTAGAAAAGAAAAAAACATTAAAAATCCACATGTGAAAGCCACCCCCACCACGTTAAATAAACAGTAGTATAGGGTACTTCACATTTACTGAATCTCCAAATCCACTCATTTGACAAAAATACAAGGAGCAGCCACCTCTCTAGGTGCAGAGAATTTTGTAGTGAGCAAAGTGTATTCTCTTGCACATCAGGTTCGTGTAGTATATATAAACAATAAAAGATAAGTGTGTTGCATATTAATATATAAATGATAAATATTAAAAATGCCTCAAAAAAAGGAAAAAATGCCTCATAATGTGGTTTTAAGGGAAATAAAACAGGATCCAGAGATAACAGTGATAGAGAGACCTTCCTTTAGATAGGGAAGAAAGGCCTCTTAGCAGACAAAATAGACAAGAGGAAATCCAATTACTTAATGAGAAACAGAAGCTTCGTGGATTTCTAGAGAGAACCATGGATGAGAAACAGCAAGTACAGTGGCCTGGTGCAAGGGTTTGATTGGCATGGAGAAGGATCAAGGAGGTCAGAGTGGCTGGAGCAGAGCTGAGTACAGAGATTGGATGGAAAACAGCCAGGGCCCAGATCACACACGTCACTTGGTAAACTTTGGATGGATTTTGGATTTCACTGGGATGTGACGGAATTCCATGAAGGGTACACATCAATGTATTTAAGAAAAGTATAGTGGCTCTTGCCTGTAATCCCAACACACAGGAGGCCAGCCTGGGCAACACAGAAAATTCCAGTCCAGTCTGGTACGTAAGACCCTGACTCAAAAAATGGATAAAACAAAATGTCCAAGAGGAATGAAAATTAAATTGTATCCAAGGGGATCCAGCAAAGTATGATGACATAGATGTGAAAATGACACAAGTAATGAAATTCATTCTGTTAACTTAAAAATTAATGCAATAAGAACTTAAACCTTCAGGGTCTGCTGGGATGGCTCGGTCTGTGAGTGTTTGAGTTTGAACCTCAGTGCCCTAGTCAAGGTGGTGGTGCATGCCTGTAGCCCCAGCACTGGCAGGGAGACCGGAGGATCCCTGGGGCATGTTGGTCAGCCGGTCTAGCTAGATCAATGAGCTTCAGGTTCCTTGAGAAATAACTCTCAAAAAATAGAATGCAGGGGCCAGGAGATGCCTCCGTCAATGAAGTGCATGTGGACCTGAGGTCAGGTCACTAGCACCACTGTTCCACTCAGTAACAATCCCGGTGCTTCGGAGAGGTGAGACAGGCACATCCCTGGAGATCATTGGCCAGCCAGTCTAGCCAAAGTGACAAGGTCCACGAGAAACCCTGCCTCAAAAAACAAGGTGGAGAACAGTTGAGGAAGACACCCAACATCAACCTCTGGCCTCCATGTGTAGAGGCAGATATGGTCAAAAATATACACATATATACATGTGTGCACGTGCGTGCACACACACACACACACACACTTTCCAGTGAAAGGAAGGATGACACTGTTAGAATCAGTGCTTTCCTTCATTTCTTCCCTAAGCAGTCGTATCAGTGGCATGGCAGGACTGTCAGAAGAGAAGGGGAGAGTCCACGGGAGACAGACTTAGAAGCCAAGTTTTGTTTGGGATCTGTGTTTTGCGTACTGACTGGAAATCACAATAGGATTCTGCTGCTCAGTGGAGAGCTCAGGGCTCAAATTGTGTAACAAGTATAATTGTTTCTTTGTGTTTTCCCCAGCCTGAGAACAGATCGCCTTTTCTCTTTGTAACCTCAGCACCCATAAAGGTAGGACCAGCAGATACTGGTGGAATGAATAAAGACAAAGGTATGGCCACATAGAGTGGAACACACCTTGAATCCTGGCACTCAGGAGTCAGTGGCAAGAGGATTGCTGCAAGCTGAGGCTAGTTTGGTCAGCATCACAGCTTCCAGGCCAGTCAAGGCTTACATAGGGAGTTCCTGTCTCAAAAAACACAAAACAAAAAAGGCAAAAGGCGTAGATAAAGTTACTGGTGAGGGAGGGGGTATGTGTGAGCCATGGCTCAGTGGTTAAGAACACTGACTGCTCTTCCAGAGGACCTGGGTTTAATTCCCAGCACCCATATGCCAGCTCATATGTGTCTGTAACTCCAAAATCTGATACTGTCACACAGACATATGTGCAGGCAAAATACCAGTGCACAAAAATAAAAATAAATCAGTTACTAGAAAGAAAAGACGTACCAAATACTTTTATTGGCTGAACATGACTTAAAAGAAGAGTGACCATAACTCCTGAATTAACCAGGCAGTTCCTAGTTTATTTCTGTCATTGTTACCTTAGTATTAACATTGCCTTGATTGACTAAGCTGTGTCTATCTTTTTTTTTGTTTTTGTTTTTGTTTTGTTGTTGTTGTTTTTTGAGACAGGGTTTCTCTGTGTAGTCCTGGCTGTCCTGGAACTCACTCTGTAGACCAGGCTGGCCTCGAACTCAGAAATCCGCCTGCCTCTGCCTCCCAAGTGCTGGGATTAAAGGCGTGCGCCACCACTGCCTGGCATGTCTCTCTTTGTACAATACATCTATATATACATCATTCCTTGTAGAAGGAAGGCCCTTCAAGATCTTTCTTGTTTTTACTTTACTTTTGGTGGTGGTGGTGGGGATTGTGTTTTGTTTCTTTGGATCAAATACAAGGCAAGAACTCTGTCCCTGAACTACATGTAACCCATGACTGACTTCTCGTCTCCTCAAAGTCTATCCCCTAGCCATGTGGAAAGACCTCTAGTCTTATATGCACCCTTACCTCCTGGCTTCCTTGCCAAGCGAAGGCTTTTCTTCACCCTGGGCATCACTTCTCCAGAACCCTTCTTCTGACCCTTCAAAACTCTGAGTACCCAGCATACCCTATAGTTAACTTCAGAACAAAGATGTGCCTTGCCCCTGCACTCACCAGCTCTATAGTGAAATCTGGAAATGAAAATCATGGAATAATTGTACATACTTACTGACCCCTTGGGTTTGGTTTGGTATTTTTAAGACAGGGTTTCTCTGTGTAACACTCCTGGCTGTCTTAGAACTCACTTTGTAAACCAGCCTAACCTTGAACTCACAGAGCTATGCCCGCCTCTGCCTCCCAAGTGCTAGGATTAAAGGTGTGTGCTACCATGCCTGGCCTTTTTTAAAAATTTTTTATTTCATGTGCATTAGTATTTTGTCTTCATGTTTGTCTGTGTGAGGATGCTGAATCTCTTGGAACTTGAGATGCAGAGAGTGGTGAACTACCATATGGGTGCTGGAAATTGAACTCGGGTCCTCTGCTGAGCCATTTCCCTAATGCCTGACCACTGTTTTTAAAGCTTGGGTGAAGAGTCGACTTTTGAACTAGGAGCTTAACAAGGAAAATTGTTTCCTGATGTCAAGCTCTATAACTTGACCGCGTTGGTCGGGAACAAAATATTTCCTCAATTCCTTCTCATCTATGGAGATGTTGTTAAGAGTCAAAAGTTCATGTTCTGAGCCTCCTTCCAGTAAAGACAAATCAGTTATGTCTATAGTTTTCCTTTCTTCTAGTGAGACAGAGGTTTGTTATACAGTCTGGAACTCACTGTGTAGCTTAGGCTAGCCTCAGTTGGGTAGTCTTGCTGCCCCAGCCTGAGCTCCTAGCCATGAGCCCTCCTATTTGCCTCTCTTACTTTCTATACCCTAAATGTTGAAAGACTCCATAAGCTTGCTTTCATACAATTTTCCATATTTCCCACCTGGCTGAGATGGCTGTGGGCATGTAAATATATTTTTATAAAAACAAGTCTCAGGGCTGGAAAAATGGTTTAGCAGTTAAGAGTATTGGTTGCACTTCCTGTGGACCCAGGTTCAATTCCCAGAAGCCACTGGCAGCTCACATCTGTTTGTAATTCTATTCCTCATACAGACATACATGCAAGTCAAATACCAATGAAATAAAAATGAGTAAGTTTTTTTTTTTTAAATAGCAAGTCTGCAAGTCCAGCACTGAGATATACCCCATCAGTAAAAGCAGGCAGAGGATTCAGGTCCCGAATCGGACCACTCAGCTCATTGCGGGGCTCTTCATTTAGTCAGGAATGTGATCCAGTCCACAGAGGGAAGAACAACCTGGCTCACAAACAGCCAGAACCTCAACTAGGACAGTGTTTGCCGCTTCTGCACCGGGGTCTTTCACAGAAGCCCTGACTGGAGCCTGCTGGCCTGCCACGGCCTTGCACGTTCAGAGCATTGATTTCCTCTCTCTCCCTCCCTATTGTCCTCTCTGTGGCCACCTCAGTATGAAGAGTTAGAGAACTAGAGCAAGTGTCCATGCTCACCCAAAAGGCTGGGACAGCATCGAGGTGTGTTGCTTTCAGTGAGGTGCTGACCAACTGCTGCCATGTTTGGCCTCTAAGTCAATAAAGAACAAAAATTGAGAAAGAATAATAGTTAGGGAATTAAACCCTTTCTTGACAGAATGCTTCTACACATC